AAATTTTCAGCTGGGTAGTCCTGGTGAATCGCCCAGGCACTGTTATGGAAATAGGAAAAAAAACCCAAAAAAAACCCCGATATGTTAGCAGTATTCTGTATCTGACACATATTAGCATAAGATTCATATAAAGTAGCATTAAAACATTGTGTCTTACGTGTTAAACCTGCTAGAAAACTGATGGAGGGGTCTCAGTGGCCTGCGCTGTGCACTGTGGAGAAAGAGGACGTAAAACAGATGTTTGCAATGATGCCGCAAGCATTCCCCCATTAATGATAAATAAAATATAAAAACAGTCTTACGCTATAAAATCTCTAGCAGCAGAGGCTGGAGGGTCTGTTCTGCGCCTTTTCAACGAAAGTGAGCGTCTTTGTGCTGCAGCTGGAGAGTAATACCATTATTTAGCCTAGTAACACACTCTTTAAAATAATAATAATAAAATACATTCATTAGGTCAAGATTTAAAACGAAAATACATTCATTAAGTTTAGAATTTAATAACAGTAATAATGAAAATAGTAAACACACACACACACACACACACACACACGACGAAATGTTATTTTAACTTACGGCTGCTGCGGCGGGGTGCAGGGGCACGGTTTTCAACTCCGGAATCGTCAGCAACTGCGCCTAATAAGAAACGCTTTTTTTTTGTAGTTGTTGTTTTTTAGAATGTTTTTTTCTGAGAAAAATTAAGTATCTAGAGAGCAATGTTATCCAATATAGAGGAGGAGTGGGGGAGGGGATTATTATTCATAATCATAATTCATAATTCATAATTAATACTTCATACGTCATACTTCATAATCATAATTCATACTTCATAATCATAATTCATAATCATAATTCATAATTCATAGTTCATAATCACAATTCATAATCATAATTCATAGTTCATAACGCGCATGCGCGTTTTGCGTGCACGCACGCGCGTTTCACGTGCACGCGCACGCACGCGCAAAGCGGGTCCCTATATACTACTGGCCCCAACGTTGGTTCTCTCAAGCTGCAGAGAGTCTCTGAGTTTGGCAAAAGAACCACTGTGACAAGTGGCTGGCAGCTGCTGGCTCCGATGAAACTTGGGTGGAGAGGCCAGTCGAATAGTCCCTCGTCTGATTTGTTATGATTACTCGCTTATCATAAAGTTGAAAACAATCTTGTTGGCCGTTTGATATTATTATCAAAGTTATTATTAACACGCATAAAAATGTTGAAATCGGCTGGCTTCGTCACCTCAGGTATAATGTTACTGAAGGCACTGTAAACAAAAGAAAAACTGGATAATTAAAACTTAAAAGTTTAAAATAACTTCCATCGTGAGCAAGAAAGAGTTACGTGGGAACCGAGTATAAGAGCATAACTGGTTAAAGCATAAAGAGTATAGTGAGGAGGAGATATGGCAAAAGCAAATAAACAAAAAGGAAAAAGGCGAAAAAGAAAAGTAAAAGGTGCAAAAGAGCAGAAGAGAGTGAGATGCGCTGAGCTCACTTGTTTTATCTTGCCACTAAGTGGCCGTGTTTGTTAAGGCGGTCTCTTAGTTGTAGATAGGCTTATTACTTTATTTTGGTGGAAACTTAATGTTTTTTATTATGTGAGATCATATACTTTAACATACTACGCGCGATAGACACATACTCTTCCCTTTATGGTCAATATTGGTTCTTAACATCAAATTAACTTTAATGCAATTATTATACCTCTTACTACACGTATCAACTGTTTCATAAACACACACTCTAGACTAACCTGCAGTTGCAGTAAAACAAAATGAGAAGGCACATATTCATGAAAACAAGTTGATTAATCAATCCAACTATATTTTAACTCTAAATATAATATGGGATTCCTTAAGGGAACTCTCCTTAACTATCGTCATAAGATGGCAGGATGGCTCCATGTTAAATGAGGGATTAAAAACCAGAACTCATAATAATAATAATCGCTAATACTTTGGCCTACAGGATTAAAATGAATATATCATTCAGCTAACAAACAAGGATTATGCACATTAGAACTTGAATGTGGCACGCGAATGTCTGGAGGGAGTGTTCATCAAGACTGGGGTGAGATCGGGGGCAGGGTCGTAAACATTTGACCCTCCGAGTGGCCTCTCATTTGTCTGTTCACTTTTAATCCAGGTTCTGGAGGAGTTTAGAAGGCTGTTGTTCCTACACAGCTCAGACACAACTGTCTTGAGCAAAGAACGTCTTTCTATCCAGACACTACATTAAGTTAAAGCAACACAATGTTGTTTTTGAGCCCTCAAAATATATATCCAAGATCCTTGTGATGGTACATCAACTCACAATAGGTTGGATGACACCTCCGTCGTTGCTTGAGAGCGTCTGTTTCACTTGCACTGGCACTATGCAGTTTCAGCGTTCAGATAGGAACCCAGACACTAAAAGGACTACAAAATTTGGCTGCGTTACAGCATACGTCATATCCCCCTCCTCTTTTTAGAGTAGCGTAGCCAAACCAAGGTGAACAAAGTTAGATGTGGTTGTCATGGCATTCATTTTGGTTAGCGGCTTGGTGGAGGAGACATCCAGCTGCTCAGCTGTAGGCTGTGGGCGCCCAACCCCTGGAGAGGTCACTGCTGCCGCTGCTGTTGCTGCCGCTGCTAGGCTACCGCTGGTTAGCGGCTCAGTGGAGGAGACGGAGGATGGAGGCTGTGTTAGCCGCCGCTCAGGCCTGAGTAATGGTAACCAAGCTGACGACCTGGACAGCAGCAGTAAGGGATCTCCCCGCAGCGGTGAGGACCAGGCTGGCCATAGTGACAGTGGTGGCAGGTGCCCAGGGAATGAGGGTGGAGTCCAGGTGAGTTGTTGTGGTAACGTTAGCTGATGTAGCAGATGTAGCGCAGTTACTGGCGCAGGGAGCCAGACTAACATGGCTTGTTGCTGTGGTTGTGCTAACATTAGCCATGGTTGGGCTAGCCGAGTCGGTTGGGCCGGGTGTTGTGTCTCCGGGTTAGATATGACCAGGGACCAGGGTTTATTTCTACATCTCCAGCCAGAAGGAGAATGACTGTGAGATGCACAAGCCCCATGAGACGGCCGGGTGCCTTTGTAGGTTGGTGTTTACCTGGTGGCGTTCTTGCTCGGTTAGCGTTCATGAATCTTGTAAACAATAGGTGCTGGCTGCCCTTGGCTGGAGAGTAGGCCTGATCATAACTTTTAGACAGAAAGTGCAGACATAGCGGGCACAGAAGTAAAAGTAAACTCACAAAAAGAATAAAAAGCAGAGATGGTGGTACAAAGTTTGTTGCTTTTTGTAGCAAGAGCTCTGGAGCCTGCCTGCCTGCGTCCACTCAGCGTCCGCCATCTCAGTGTCAGTGTCTTGCCTTTGCCAGGCTATGTTGTTGCGCATTACACAGCCAGCTTCAGGAAGTTAACCAGTATCGATGGCTTGTCAACAAATGCACGTACATAAAGATTTTTCCGACAGTTGTAACAGACAATACCGTTTTTCGTCTGTAGGGGGACCCGTGAGGTAAAAAGTGCAATCCTCCACTGTGTTGCTTTAATCAGTGCAGTTTGGTTGCTAGTTTGGCTGCTTATCAACACCATCAGCAGTTGAAGCAACAGCAGATACTTGAAGGCAATAAATCTCTTAATGCCTGAGTGCTGCAATGTGCATCACTTTGCCTGAGAATAATCATGTTTTTAAGTTTTTTTTAGTATCAAAGTAGTCATAGTTGCCGACATCTATGGGTACACTGCAAACAGGAGCTGCTCAAAACGGATTCAACATACGTAATGTTGCCAAGTTGCCAAAACTTAAACAAATATAGTCTAAACTCAAGTTGTATCCCACAGCTATCTCATCACCACTCCATGCAACAGAATACTTCCTGTTTACATCCACCAAAGCATCATGTGCACTGTAGTTCCACAACTTGGATCATGGTTATATTCACTAAAAAGTATTAGGCCAAAGAGTAACAGTAAGAGTGACAAAAACAGCCCCTTCTGTGGAACTGTTCAGAGGCTTTGATGTGCAGGGTGTAGCTGGTAAAGGGTGTTACTGATATTTACTCTGTGCAACCAAAGGTTAAAATATTTACTAAGGATGTTATCTTAATAAGTCTCATCTCTTCGCTTGAAATTCTCTTCAGTGCAAAGCCAGGGAACAGATACAAATCATTCAAACAAGTGAACCACATGTCACAAGATTACCACCATCATACCACAAAGTGTAGTGTCAGGGCCATATCCAAGGCTCATTAGTGGAACAGCTGTAAAATTACATACAAGAAACAATGACAGGATCATCATTAGTCAAGTTTACATTCAAACACAGAGCAAATTTTAACTGAATGTCCAAAAAAAATCAGCTAAAGAAAATGCAAATTAATGTCTGTTTCCATCAATTCGTGTTGCTTCAAGTCCATGGTGCTGCGCTGGCACTTAATCTGTGCCTTGTGAACACAAAGTGCTCCAGGTTCACTTTGCTCTTTGCCACTGTATTCAGCCCTCTAGATCACAAGCTGCTGCACTGGGACACTTGGAGACACCTGGTGAACGTCGACCTGTAACACTTGCAAGGATGCAGGACCAGGAGTAGTTTGGTCCACAGAAGATACTGCACGTCTCCAGATGTGGGATGTAAAATACATCAAATGTCAGAAGTCTCTTTTTGGTGCACTTTAAGAGGACTGAGTTTGGTTTGTTTAAAAAGTCCTAAAACACCCTTAGCTTACATTCTGACATTCAAACTGAATATGATACTCATCTCCTACACCATTGTCATCACAAAGGTTTCTATCCAGCCCTTCATATCTTCCACTGACTTTAGGAATTCTGCTGTTATTCACTCTGAAATTATAAATATCCTGTCTGCTTTTTTGCTTTTCATGCCACAAATACTTCTCCAGTTTAAACTCTTATCGATTAATTTCGACATATATACCACATGATGTCATATTTCTGGGATCTCGATTTAGAGAACGAACATTCAAACTCAATCATTTTTTGGAATGATACATGACATACCTCTTCAGCATCAGAACCTCCAAGCCATGTCTGTGGATGCCCATGAGTTTTATCTTCTATCATCTTTTTAATCCCATGATACTCCTCAGCTAGATGTACAGACGCAAGGTTTGCACCCATGGACTGGCAGTTTAACTACAGAGGAGAGAAAAAAGGTAAAACATAGCTGCCCAGAAAGAAAACATGAGCAATAAGAGAACACCAAAGCTACTAGAAAATGCCAAGTTACCAAGTGTAAAAGTGCAAACAAACAGAATAAACTTAATTTAGAGATAAGGTAATATTGAGTCTCCAGACAAAGTGTAAAGCAGTTAGGAAATATGTATTCACCTTCTTGAATTACTTCCACTGTCCCGTGTTCATCCTTCACCTCGGACAGAGCTGAACAGTTAAACACAGCAGTTAGTGATTATTTCCATCGCGTCGCTGGATATAAACAGATGCAAAGAATTTATCTTTGTCTTTTTGCTCACACACACATTGTTAACACTCACCAGCAGCTGTAGTCAGTGCCATCATAGCACAAAGAAGTGCAAACACAGTCAGCGTCTTCATCGTGGAGATGATGCAAATCTCAATGTTGATAATTACCTTCAACAAAGAAAAACAGACATGTCAGTAAAACTTCTGAAACAGCTGAGCTGTAGTGACTGTTGTCCTCTTCTGAATGAGAGAAAAAAGAAACATAAAACTGGAATTTTGAATTGTGATGTCACAGTGAAGATGACCTTTGACCTTTTGGATTTAAAAATGTCGTCACTTTGTTATTTTATTGTGTTAGACGTTTGTGTGAAATTTTGTCATAATTAGCGTATGAACCCTTGACTAAAACATGTTTTGTGAGGCCACAGTGACCTTGACTTTTGACCACCAAATTCTCATGAGGTCATCATTGAGTCCAAGTGGATGTTGGTGCCAAATTTGAGGAAATTCCCTCTAGGTGTTTTTGAGATATTGCATTCATGAGAATGGACAGACAGATGGACAGATGGACCCAAAAACATAACATGCCAGCACGGAGGCATAAAAAGAGGTAAAGAAATAAAGCAAAGCAAACCTTCTGGTGGATTATCTTCTCTTCCTCCTTCTCAGTGTCAGCCTGAGCGTTGATGCTGAACAAGCCCAAGACCAGCTCTTATATACAGTGAATTATCTATCCATCAATCATAAAACATGTTTAAAGTACATCAGTTTACTCCACCCTAAATGATGATGGGTTAACCATCTGTAAAAGGTTATTAGATTTACAGCTGGTCAGTGCATCAACTGGCATCACCTCTCAATCTCCTATTTACTTTGGAGGCTTGAAGGTTGACAGTTTGCCATCTGCAAGCTATGAACAGTTAAATATTAAAGGATAATATTAACAGATACAGCTAATCATTTTAGGACTTGTCTTAAATTACAATTAATACCACAGGACAACTTGTTTCGCTTTGACAAATTGGAAGGAATCCTTTACATTTGGCAAATATGGAAGACACTGGGTACATTTACATGCTTACTAAAATTCCACTATTATTTGTAATGCAACAATATTTTGAATTTGATGCGAGTCATGTAAACAGAATTTCCTCTTAGAGATTCCAAATTTGGTGTCTTTTCAGATTAAGCATTTGCCGATTCAGACATGTGGGATTTGCTGCTGTTATTCAGGTTTTAAGAGCATTCTTTGGACATGTAAACAACACATTCAGAATATGCATCTCAGTTGGGATTTTTGCTGCAGTTTGCGACACACAGCCTGTTGTCGGTTAACAAACCAACAGTTTCCAAGGTTAGTGCAGAAATGCATTGCCAAAAGAAAAGCCCATATTTCTGGTAGGAAGAATAAACACACCTACTTTATAACATTATTAAAGACTTGGATATGAGCAGGTTCTTGGATATATGCAAATATCACAACACTGAGCTTTTCAAGAAGATGGTTGAAGAATTGAAAGGGAGAGGCTGTGCTCACACTGTCCAACAGGTCCAACAGGTCCACTGCAGGTGGGAAACTTTAAAAAAGTCCTGTTTTGATGCCAAGATGATGATGATTTTTTATTTTATTTATTTTTTATATACTTTATTAATCCCCCTGAGGGGAAATTCAGTGTTCAATGAGTGAAGGGGCTGCCTTGGTCAGGCGCCCCGAGTGGTTGGGGGGTTCGGTGCCTTGCTCTAGGGCACCTCAGGAGGTGAACTGGCACCTCTCCAGCCACCAGTCCACGCTCCATATTTGGTCTGGACAGGGACTTGAACCGGCGACCCTCCGGTTCCCAACCCAAGTCCCTATGGACTCATTAGGATTTTAACGATTCCAATTCCTCTTACCGATTCCTACATTATATTCATTATACTTGCTATACTTAAACAAGTATATAATAAACACATGCAATCATACAAATACAAACTTTATTCTAACTGTTGCACAGTACAATTAGATGAAAATACAAATTTGTGTGTGGTGTGTATTTCAGATTTAGAGCTTATATCATCTCCCTGAGAATATATAACAACAAAAAGTGATTCTCTGATTTCTACAGTAACACTGTTACCTCAAATTAACCACAGCAATGTAAAAAAAAAATACTCAAATGCATTCATGCTTTGGCACTGCTATTTACGTGACAACACCTCAACAGAACACACACACACATTGGCTGTTTGTTTCTACCTCTCCCCTCGCTGGAAGCATTGGACCTCCAGCCGCCCGCCTCCGCCTTGATTAAGCGCTGACAATTAAATGAAGAGGGAGACAAGTTTCTTATTTCTAGTTTCCTATTTTATCTTATTTTGTTATATTTCTACCACCTCCCTCGCTGGAAGCCTTGGACCTCCCGCCGCCCGCTCCCGTCTCAAACACGGAGGTCTCCCTCTATGCTGAGCACGCCCGGCCTGTTACATAGCCTGTAACCATGACAACTGTGTGACACAAACTTGGTGCTTTAGTCATTAAATTATGTTGGGCTCGGTTCGGGTTCGGACAGAAATATGAGGCCCGTGCCGCACTCTAATGGAAATGCATGTGATGTTTTTTTTACAATCTAGGAACCATTACTCCAATTGTGATGGAACCGGTTCCAGACTATGGACTGAGTTACTGCCGCCCCGATTGGCCTACTGCCGATTGATGTAATAAAAGCAATGGTGGTAAGGACATGTTAATCAGAGTATGCATGGCTGCATATAAATGAGAGTAATAGGAGAGTATTCATTTTCATTAGTCATGTAAACAGCTTATAAGTAATATTGTCTTTTTTTGGAATAAGGGCAAAAACCTAATTACTTTGTGCTTGTGACAGCAGTCACTTATTCTATCTCTCTTTCTCTTTTCTGCCTCAGCAGGGGTTCAGTGTCATGCACACTTTAACATCTGAAAAGAAGGAGGTGAGAACTGATCCCCTCACAAACCAGAACCATCAACTTTACCACCTCCATCAGAAAACACAGACCTGTCTCCCGTGCAGCAGTGTCACGTAACACTAATGGATGGAAACGGACATTAATTTGTATTTTCTGTTGCTGTTTTCTTTTTGGGCATTCAGGTAAAATTTGCTCTATGTTTGAATGTAAACTTTACTCATGATGATAATGTGATTGTTTCTTGTATGTAGTTTTACATCTGTTCCACTGATGAGCCTTGGATATGGCCCTGACACTACACTTTGTGGTATGATGGTGGTAATCTCCTGACACTTGTTTGATTGTTTTGGATCTGTTCCCTGGCTTTGCACGGAAGCTTTGAGAACATTGTCAAAGAGGAGATGAAACCCA